CGTAGTATTTTTCAGTGATGTGGTTTATTGGGCAAAGTTTTTCACAACTGACAGGCAACTATATATAAAATTTGTACAACTTATTAGTCTGATCTACTGATATGACGCTATAACTAAAAGAGTATTCCTGATGTCAGTGTTGTCGGTGCTAAATAAAAAATAACTCAGATCTCTTAAGCAATTATGAGCCCACACTTGAACTTCAGCACATACACCACTAAAACTTGTCCTCTTTAATAATATAAGACCTTACATAAGGCATTTATATCTCCAACTCTGTGTCTAAACCCCATAAAGAAGTTAATAATTTACAAATGTTACATAACTGTTTTGCATATTTTTAAATATTTCTGATGCTTTCGGAAACATGTAAAAGAAATCACGGTGTGTATTAGAAGGAAGGTTTGGTAACCATAGTGGAGGGTCACATAATATGTTCCAGTGATGGACCTTTCAGGGTTTTGAAGAAGCTAATAAAAAAACTACCAAGCATAACGTGGGACTTCAATAGAATAAAATAACTTTTTTAAATGTCACAAAAAGTACCAGACTGTCTTATCACCAGTGTTTTCATTCCTGTGTTTAGGGCTGTGAACATTGCCTGATGATATACAGTGGACCCTGATGTTCAAATGAATTAGGTACCACAGTGACCCATGAATAGCTGAATTCTGCAAATACTTCAGACACTCTCCAAAAACTCATAGTTGCCTATTTTTACAGTTCAACACCAAATGGACCTTAATGCACATGAATATGCTTAGTGGAAATCATGTTGGCACTACCGCAGAAGCTAACCTCCATTGTCATCCTTATCTCAGCTCTTGAGATAAGGATGTTCAATTGGCTGGGAGTACAGGCATGATCCGCACCAAGGAAAGTAAGCCTTTCAGTGTTGCTAACACTCCTACTGAATATATTGACTGTAATTAAATCGTACATAAATTATTTTGAAACTTTTTAAATCCATCTCAACCTCCCTCTCCTAACTCTGCTGGACCTTCATCTATAACATTTTGTTGTACCTTTGCTTTACATTGTCTTTGCAGACTTCTAAAAACAACTACCTCACATGTTCTTCATGGTATTTTTTTCAGATTGTTGGCAATCCATAAACTTTTAGCACTGAAGTATTTCTCTGGCCTGGCATAGATTATTTTCTCCACACAAATGTTTAGTCTTTCACAAACTTGGTCATGATGACTTAGATAACATACCTAAAATAAACTCGAAGATTTGCATATATGACGCTGTCTCTCTCTTTTTTTTTCCCCTTATTTTTGCAGTTGACAAACTATTTGAAAAGTTTGAAGCATAGAAATGAGAGGAGGTGTGACTGCCATACATCCTTTAGGGATGTTGTGTTTGTAACCTGTTCCCAGGTTACAAAAGCTGACGTCACACTCACTGCCGGCAGCAGTGCAGGGTTATAAATACACCTGCATGTATCAAAATAACACTTGTGAACTCTGTGGGTAGAATATAGGTACTGCAAATTTATTGCCACCAGTGTCCTGGACATACACTCTCTCCCTACTGGCACATAAATTGCAAATCACCATTGTTCCTTTTTGATAAGTCACCGAGACCAAAATAATTTTTCAACATAATCTCCATTGCAGAATCACTATGTGGTGGACAGCCTTCATCATTCATGCGTTTGTGCTAAGATGACCCTATCAATGCACTTCCTGTTGGCTTAGAGTTATGTCATCAACATATATACTTACTTTCTGCCCCTGCATGTGACAGGAATCTATCACGAGGTCACATAAGGCTCTACTTAATAGGTTCAATTACATGATCAGGATTGCCACTTTGTTTGTGAGCTCTGGAGTTATTCTATTTGAGCTATTGCATTTATCTTTGCTTGTCCTTAAAGTTTGAATGTCAACAAGAGAGGCATTGACGTTTGGTATGTGTTTCTGCTGCCTAGACTTTGTAAAATATGCAAGGGTTTCTGCATGGTTGTAGGATCTTGCCAATGTTCTCACACTCGTGTTCAAACTATTTTTGAGTCAGCTGCTCCCAAGCGTTCGCCCCAGCGTTTGACTCATCATCCTACAGTTTTGCACCAAAGTCCAATAGGTGCTGAGAAATTGCTGATATGCTTGTTTTACTGCTGTAAAAGAAGTTGTTATTGATTTTATATTGCTTATTTTACGAGGAGTTAATTTGGGTAATATGAGTCTCCTTATCCATGTGCTGTATGATGTTGCTAACGGAGAATGTCTTCATGCAACGTTTTCTCAAAGCATATGTCATTGTTCCTGATTCATGTTTTTTGTCAGTGCCACCTTTTGAATGAGAGCTTTATCTAAGATCATCTGTAACAGTCGGGCACAATTTGTGCAATTACAAAACTTTGGCCCTTTGTTTGCATGTTTGGCCGCAACAGGACTTGGAGGACATTCACAGAGTAGAACAGATGCTGAAATGTAGGTCAGACAAGCCTTTTGGCTGAATAGAGGCTGAAACATTTATTTGTAACCTTAAAACCTTCCAAAGACAAATATATTAGGTTTCTGGCGATTCAACATTGTAAATAGATTTCTGATTGCCCTATGTTGGACTGTCAATGGTGTGAATCACCTTTTAACCCGCTTATGTCAATATAGGAAATACATCACTGTCTTTTAGCAATATCTGAAAATTCTTTAAAGTAGAAATTTACCATTTATTGTCTTATGTCCTATTATATAATTAAAAAAATGTATGAAAACTCTGGCTGATGGATCTTATTCCTCCTTTTTTGTGCTACAGTGAATGGGATATTCATAATCTTACTTAATTTAGTTTTCTGTTTATAAAGTAAACTGAACCCTAATAAGAAATGCATTTGATTTCAACGATGTAGCCACATAAAAGTTACACTAAAGTCAATGAAAAGTCTTCATAAAACACTGATTTAGATGTTTCATTTAGGCTTAGACCCGATGTAAAAGTGGTGTAAGCTCAGACTTGAATTTAAGAATTTATGAAGTTAAAAAAAGTCTGTAAATTATACACATTATTATGATAATGCAGAACCTTGTAATGCTTTATGTGCGCTGTGTAGTCTGTGCATTTTGAACATTTTAAAATTTTCTCAAATTGTTACTCTGTCAAATTTTCTTCATTCAGTATCTTGTTTGTATGCTATGTCTACTGCACCAAACAGCAGATAAATTTAGAAACAGGCTTCAAAGAAACAGCAGAGTCATGATCAGTGCAGAACAGCTTGACCTCCAGCTGTCAACATAAATGCTCTCCAGATAAAATCCATGTTAAGTAAAATGTTGTGAAAGCGAAACAATAAAACGTTTCTAAGCTCTTGCCTGAAACGGCTTACGAGACCACTTTTTATAATGAAACCCCAAAATAAGTGAAAAAATGGTTGGGGGAGGGCTGAGGCGGTGACATAAAAGGATGGTGCAGGTGAGGAGGGAAAACAACAAAAACTTGCCATAGATTTTTCAAGGAAATACCACTGTGAGAGATGGTGAATAACAGCAGCAAAGCAATGGAAGGCCCCGGTAGCGTGGGTGAGAAGCTCCCTTGCCATTTTGTCTTCTGTGGGTTTTGAAATAAAGGACCTGCCAGCTTGTGTTCTCTTCTTCAATGCCCAGAGTTAATCTTAAGAGAGGTGGAGTCATTGAAATATACATAAAATGTCCAGATTGAGTTCAGTTTAAGCATAGTTTTTAATATGTCAGGGGGCCAATTTGTCTTATAGAAAAGAGTTGAAAGTAAAAAGGGAGTTTATTCCAAATGATTTAATTTAATTGCAATAAATGTCTACGACTGTAGTGTATTTAAAGTTTCATTGATTTCTGGAAACATTAATTGAAATAACCTCCAGCTGACAGATTAAAGGTGAAAGCAAGATCCAGTGTCTGCAAGACAGACATTTTAGGCATTTATTTTTATGTTAGATAAGGAGTAGAAACACATGGGTTACAATTTGTTAATGTGTACCTTGTAAACCAACCCATTCTTGCAGAATGAAAGAGAGAACATTTACAAAACTGGACGTTTTGAATGCTTATTGTGGTCTTGCTTACACATGGTAGGCATCAGCTAAATCAACAAGCTTTTTCCTCCAGATGGAGTTTTGTGTGTTGAGAGCAGTGACTCAGTGTATGTGCGCAGGTTGCTAGTTGCTTCAAAGAATGGTGAGACATCAGATTTAACAAGCCATGATAAAGTGTCCTGTTACATTCAAAGGGAAGGTTCAAACTCAAATTGAATAAAATCTTTCTTTTTGTTTTTGTTTTTTTCCCCCCCCGCGCTACCTTGGACTGTTATTTATCCATCTGAATTGTTTTGGTGTTGCTGAATGCCTAAAATATTGGCTATTGTGTTTTCTTTAATAGATGTAGATATAGAAAAAGGGGATAGAAGAAAATAGATATGCAGTTCATGCTTTGACAATAAATCAACCTTGTAGACATTTTTAAGGTAACACTACCGGGGCGATTATTTGGAAAGGATAGTCCTCTCCGGGTTGAGAGTCAGTCTCTTCCTCAAGTGGAGGAGGCATCTTGGTCTTTGATCATGTGTGATGATAATGGACAGAAAATTAATAGATCGATTAGTGCCTCACCCTACTTCTGATTTAGAAATAGGGTAAGAAGTTCTGGCATTCAGGGGCAATTTTTGTGCAAGTCCCTGTAATTGTTTTAGAGATCTTACAGAAATAATAGACTGAACTAGAACCATGGGACTAACCCAGAACTTGGTCAATTGATTAAGCTCCCAAGAAGAGGTAGATGGAGATGCCCTCGAAGGATCCAGGGCATCTAGATCCCTATAGGTACTTACCTCTGCAAATGTGCTTTTGAGTGCTTCTACTGTGACGTTAAAATGAATTACTTGATGAGAGAATAAGATTAGAGACATGATTAAGTCAAACTCATTTAAATAAAACGTGATTCATACCTGAAAAGCAAATGTAAACGAAGCTAAAAGCATTGCATCGCAAAGAACTAATTATTGTTCTCCCTTCAATCCTCCACCAGTGGTCGTGTGAAACCGCTGCTCGGCCGGTTCAGTGAGCTTGAAGCCTTGCTGTCTAACATGAACATTAAGTCAGGCAGCATTGATGCTGTCCTGTTGGATGCAGGCTGCTCCTCCATGCAGATGGATCAGGAAGAGAGAGGCTTCTCCCTCAGCAAGGATGGACCTTTGGATATGAGAATGGACGGAGAGAGGTAGGACATTTGCCACATGAAGCGGTGGTTGTTACCTTTGGAGCTGCTAGATTATCAGAGCCAGTAGGACCTTAAGATTGCTCACTGATGTAAGGATCTTTTAGTGAAGTTAAATGGGCTTACAATAAATCTGTAAATTATTCCTTTTTTATCCTATATGATTTAATAACTACATTTACTGTTTAAAATGATAAGTATAAACAATCCATTTATTCAGTAGTATGTATTTAGGCATGTATATGCAACATGCACATATAATGTATATGTATGCATTCATATGTTTATGCCTCATATACAGCTCTGGAAAAATTAAGAAACCACTTAAAATGATCAGTTTCTCAGATTTTACTTTTCATCGGTATGTGAGTAAAATGAACATTGTTTTGAAAAAATTTAGTATGTATTTGCACAAAATGAGAAATGGTCAAAATAACAAAAAGATGCAGTGCTTCCAGACCTCAAATAATGCAAAGAAAACAAGTTCATAGTCATTGAGAAAAAAACAATACTGATGTTTTAACTCAGGAAGAGTTCAGAAATCAATATTTGGGGGAATAACCATGAGGTTTTCAATGAGGTTCAGTGCAGCAGTCTCTTGTTTTTGCTAGAGCTGCACATACTTACTCTATGCAAGTATCTTTTTCTAAAAAGTCTGAATTTTAAAGATCTTTATCTGCAAAAGGACAGAATATTCAAAAAATAGGGTTAGAGAGGGCACAGTGGTGCCTCTTTAAAAGGGAATATATTGCTTTTGTATTCAGCGGATGTTTCAAGTCCAGCTCATCACATGAACTTATCTGAAAGAAATAGAAACTGGAAAATGTGTAATTGACTAGTAAAGTCTTAAGTTTTTCATTTCCTACAGAGTTATAAAATATATTTCTGAGTCATCATGGACTCCATAGGAGGATAATGTGCTGTACGGCTCCATCTAAGAGTCACAAAGCTGGACTCTTAGATCTGCTGAGCAGGTTGACAGCTGTTGAGCAGGTTTTGATGGAGGTAGAGAGGAAACACACCTAAATGTCATAGTGGAATAAATATATTATTGCTACTACATGTAACACAGACAATGCCACATAGGTGCAGTTCATCAGTTACCGGCCCTTTAAGTTCTGGAAACACTCAGCAGCCATTTTATTAGGTACGCTTGGTTAGTACTGGGTTAGGACCCTCTTTTGCCACCAAAACTGCCTTAATAAAAAGATGTCGGTCAAATTTAGTCCAAATTGGCATTATAATATTACTTATGTGATGCAGACTTGTCCACTTTACATCCACAGTAGGATTCTGCTGTTCTACCACATTCAAAATGTGCTCTATAGGATTGAGATCTGGAGTACAGTGACCTTACTATAATTAAAAAAAAAACTGTATGAAATCCTGCATTATCCTGCTGGCAGAAACCATCAGTGAATCTACACACTGAGGTCTTAAAGGGATGGATTTGGTCACCAAAAATACTCAAGTCAGCTACGGTATTTAAATGATTCACAGTCATTTAAGAGAGGCCCCAAGTGTATCCAGAACATTTTCGTCACACCATTAAACCACCTCCGTCAACCTGGAGCTGTTAATACAGGGCAGGATGAATCCTTATTTTCATGTAATTTTATACCAAATCCTGAACATAGTTACATCTGAATGCAACTAAAATCAAGACTCATCAGACAAGGCAATGTTTTTCCTACGTATATTTGTCCAGTTTTGATGAATGATTTTAGCCTTGGTTTCCTGTTTTGAACTGACAGGGGCGTGAGTGGTACTCTGAGATGGTGGCCTGAGTTTAGGACTCCGATTTGAGTTACACTTAACTCGCAAAAATTACAGACTTCAGCTTAGGTTTAGACTTGTCGTAGATTATGGCCTGTAAATGGCTCATAACAATTTGCTCATGTTTATGCTTTAGTTTTACAGTAATGACATAAATGTCACTCGTTACAAAATTACGGATTAAGGATACTTCTGACTGGAAATATCAACATAAAAGCACTTCCTGTTTTACCCAATTAAGAAGTTTGAGATCGGCATCTCTCAAAATATGATCAAATGATGTAAAGGACTTTCAATTAAGAACACACAAGACATCTATTTTTATTTACATTGTATTAAAATTTGCCATTTAAAATTTATTGACACTCTTCATTAAGTAATAGAAAAATCTTTCTTGGCATCACTGCAATAAAATTCTTTCTCTTACTGCTGACCAGAGGTTTTTATATCTCCGCTGGTATTTTGATCATTTGTACTGGTGATGAACTCTTTTCCATCATCCTAATTCCCTTTACATATTTTTAATCAGATTCAAGTTAGGGCTGCGGCTCCAGTACTCGAAAAGTTGATACTACTTCTAATTAGCCAAAGCATCCTATATTTTAATATCTTCTTAAATAAAAGGTTATTTGAAATCTAAATCTGAAAGAGATATGAATTATTTCAGTGGTGAGAATACAAGCAAAGCTAAGCCTAATCCTCTACTTCTTTTTCGGACTCGCTCTGTTTTTGTTTGTGAGAACAGCCTTACTGGATGGTCAAAATAAATTTTTGATATAGAAAGCCACAGGTGGTTTCCCATCTCCAACCACCAACATTTTTTATTCATCTTCCCTTCAAAATAATCAAAGCCAAGTGTTATTCCTGTTAATATACTTAATATAATGTGTTACTTTATGTTTAAAATATGGAGCAGTTTTTTAGACATTCTTTGACGTAATGCTCCTAATAATTATTAAGCGAATTAGGAAAGATAAGTATTCCCGAGGTCTAAATATAAGACAACATTTTACAGCTTGTAATGACAGTAGTAGACCTCAGTTTTTAGGCACAGTTCATACAAATGTGAAGTGTATCTGCAAAAATAGTGCAATATGCTTAGAAATGCATTTACTTTGTTTTTTAACATTTGCATAACCTGCAAATCAATCCCTTAACCTCATCACAAGCTGTTGCTAAAGCTGCATTTTCCTTTTTTTCCTGCCTTGCAATGATTTTGCTCAGAATTGTCACCCATGCAGGCTTTCAGCTGTATCTCAGAATTGTCAGGATTCGCCTCTGTCAGCAAGGACATGACGTCAAACAGCTTAATTGGGCTTCTTTTTGTGCGTAGGTACCCTGACATGCCCTGCGCTGCTGACGTTGTGAATACCTTAGATCAACAGGCTCTTGCATCTATCCTCACTGCATATGGGGAAGAAAGACACTCCAGGAAAATAGCTTCAGCCATTGTGGAAGCACGCCGTGTCAACCCCATCACCCGGACACAGCAGCTGGCCAGCGTGGTTGCAGGTAGCGAGACTATATGCTGATTAATTCCCCGCAGGATTCTTGGGGCTGCACGGGAAAATAAAACACGAGTGGAGTTATTAATGCTGTCTCCCAGAGGGACACGCATGTCTAAGAAAATTATACTGACTGTGATCTCGGCCATCAGCCTTTCTTCTTCTGCTTCAGTTTTAGTTGCCTTATTCCACACCTTCTTTCGAGAGCGAGATGAAATGGAGATGGAGGCGGCTGAAACAAAATGTGGCTAATGCCTTGAAAACAGTATTTTGTATACAGTCGCCCATCTCTCTCTCTCCACTCTCTGCTTCTTTGTTCCCTTTTTGCCCACCCTTTTTTTTTTTTTTGACTTGCAGACATGCACCTGACAAACATCCAAACACCCACATGTCCCCAAACAATTGATACACTCGTGCGTACAAAAGGGCTTAGCTATTTGTCTTCAATGATTGTTTTTATTTTTTCCCTTTAGCCTTATGAATCCGGATTTGAGATGCGAGATGTCGTTGCAGCAGTTATTGAACAGAGCGGCGTATGCGTCAGTGTCACCCTGGGAGAACAGGTGTGAGTAAGAGCAGCTGTTTGATCTCTTTTCAAGAGCGAGGCAAGTTAACATCGATGTTTATTTGAAGCAATTCAAGACATCTTGATTTAGGAAAGTTCCAGGGGGAGCTCTTCGACCACCTGTGACAGTGATGTTTTTAGGAAAACAGTACAACCCCATAACAAATCATGAAGCTGTATTTGTCTGTATACGTGAGGTATATGTTACACTTTCCATTGGAGAGCAAATTAATTAATATCACCATCATTTATCAATAAACGGTTGCTCTTCTGATTATATTATATCAGCTTGCCAATGCATACATGCCTCTTGAACTTTTTCACATTATGTCACAATACAACCGCAAATATTATTACTTTATTATCGATATTTTATGGAATTGAGCAACACAGATTACCATATAATTGTGAAATTCTCTAACGAGAAGGGGTCATTTGGACCCAGCAAGATTTTTACCCTGTGCACAGTCCGCCCATTACAAGTTTTTTTTGTTTTTTTTTTGTGTGTGTGTGTGTGGTTTTGGGAACTGACGGTCTGATGGAACACCTCCCACCCGTCCTCCACACTGTCCGACCGTGACATCCGCCGCGTTCCTCCTGAGTGTTGCACTAAATCTACAGGGGGGTTAAAGAAAAACGAAACATGCTTTCAGATTTACATTATATATTCATATTTATCACGCTAGACAACCCAGCAATCCACAGACTATTGCTGTCTCAATCACTGTCAACCACCACACACCCACTCCACCACCAAAACCTCACCCCGAGGTGCACACATTGCCAACCTGAACCCACTTCTCTGTGTGAAATGGGGGATGGTTGATTACAACGCATTCAATTTCTGGTAACCTTCATAGTGCAGCTTCCTTCAGTCAAGTTGGTGCACATACATTACCACCAAATGGTAGCGACTGGGTAAAATGTAAAATCAGATTCAATTACTTTAAAACTTACACTCCTCCAGTAAGCAAACATTTATCAATAGCCAAGGGTCCAGACCCTTTGTATGAAGCAAAACATAGAACAAGGGGTTGGTTTTTACCAGGCTACCTTTTTTTGTAGTAATTTTTTTTTTTAGCTTTGTTGCAATGAACCATAACCAGATTAAAAAAAATGTATGACATAAGAGTTTTTCCTCAGGCAAAAAAAGTATCTCTTCTGAATGCCCTGTACTGTGGTTGATTCCATGAGTGACAACAAAAGACATAAGCTTTCAGCCAATCAGGAGTTCTCAACTTTTAAATATAAGTTTAAGGTGAGCAGAAAAGGCTGATGTCTTATAAATACAAACATCAAAAACAACAACAAAAAACCTGCACAGCATGTTTAACAAACTACTTGATCCAGTAGGCATAAGGAGATACTGCACATTTTGTTCTGCACTGAGACCCGTGGTTTGTCTTTAAAGTCTCTCTGACTGAATGATTCAAAAAATGCACGTAAAAACTTTCACTATCAGAGCAAGACTGTTAAACATGTCCAAGTTGTAAATGTAAATTACAAGATAAAACATGAGGTGTGAATTAGTGAGGTTCATAGTGCATAAACAAGTGAATATTTTGAGCATGTAAACACTTTGCAGCAACGGTTTTCATTCTGGCATCAACACCATTCAATGTTGTTGCCAGAATGCATGCTTTGTTCATGTTCTTTTACATAAAAAAACAGCCTTGTTAACTTAAAAAATTCACGTAAAGTATTAATCACACTCTTGAATGTGCTTATTCAAGCATAGTAAGGTGAACAGGTGAATTCAGACACTAGTTCTTGCTTTTCTGTTTTATTATCTCTATAAATTCTTACTTAGGCTTTGACCTACAACATACTGCACCGATGCAGAAAAACTGGCTTTACATCTTTTTTTTTTTTTTTTTTTTTTTTTTTTTTTTTTTTTCTCTGGACAGTTAATGATTCCAGATGCTGGCAGGAGAGCAGTTCCAGACGTCAGGGGGTTTCCAATGATTTATCTGTGGTATAAATTCTGTCAGTCAAACCTTTCGACACGTCTATTAATTTTGAATGAGGCAGTTACTAAAGAAATGACTGGCACGGTAGTTTTTTAATGTTTTTCTTCCTCTGAGCAACATGAATTTTAAGTGTAAATGTTATGTTTGATATAATCTGCTAATATTATAACATCCTGCCAAGTTTCAAACTGAAGATTTCAAAGGAAGTGGTGCTGTGCTTCTGTATTATTACAAATCAACCTTTAGTGTGCAGTAAAGCACACATCTGCCTTATCCTAACATCATCAGAGCATGTAAAAAAAGGAAGAAATAGGAAAATTTTAGAGAAAAATGGTTATTTTCCACAGAACCAGTGGCTCACGTCAAGGGGGATGATGAATGATATACATACAGACATGCTGGTGCCAAAGCCTCCAACAGAGTCTTATCAGCAATGGGCTGATGGTATTGACCTGCCTTTGTCCTCCACACATTTCAGACTAGTAGCTTTGTTTGCTTCTTTATTCTGATGTTTCTAACATATAGAAACTATTTTTTTGCACACATGCTGTACTATAGAGTAGGTTTATGCTCAGCATTAGTATAAATGTAAATAATTTTGTGCTTTTCCTGATTTTTTTAAGCTATACTTTTCCACCATGTAGAAAAAGAGGTATAAACAAATACAACAATTGACCTCAATGACTTTTGAAAATGAAAGTTAGCTGCAGAAATGTGAACTTTATGGAGTTTTTTCTATTACTATAATCTATGCAAAGTCAAAATTAAATATGCAGACTCAAATACACTGCTCAAAAAATTAAAGGGAACACTCAAATAACACATCCTAGATCTGAATGAATGAAATATTCTCATTGAATACTTTGTTCTGTACAAAGTTGAATGTGCTGACAACAAAATCACACAAAAATCATCAATGGAAATCAAATTTATTAACCAATGGCAGCCTGGATTTGGAGCCACACACAAAATTAAAGTGAAATGTTCCCTTTATTTTTTTGAGCAATATTTATACATACACCTCTACTGACGTTAGGGTGAATTCATGAACAAACTCCAGATTTCATTCAAACTGGATATTTTGCCACACTTTTTAAATGAAATCTTAGTTAAGTTAAATTGGTGTATAGACGCACTGCAAATATTTGAAATCATTTTGAAAATGACAGTTAGTTGGGCTACTGTAGAAAGCCTTTTGTTTGGTGCTGATTATGGATTTGTTCAGTCAGCCTGCTAACTTTTGCTTTGAGGTGAGTTTGAAGGTAATGGTGTTTCTGTTCATTTATTTCAGCAATTTGCTCAGAGAAACACAAAATGGATGAATTTCACCCAGACATATGTTTTCAAGTCATGTTAACTATGATGATTTTCTGCTTACCTCTTATGGGAACAGAGCACTTAAGAAAAGCATTTTTACAGAAATATTGATTTGACGAATAGCATGTTTAATGATGGTTATTTTCATAAGGTACTCTTAATCTGACAAGCAAAGCTTATTAAAATGCATATTCTAATTTATTGAATATGAGCGTGCATGGACAGCTTGTTTCAAGTTACCCAACTGCATTTCAGTGAGATCAAAATCTGGACTTTGACTTTGCCCAGGCCTAATGTTTCCTTAATTTTCACCTAACTCTTGGTGGATTTAATCATAGGTTTTGGGTCAATGTCATGTTAAAGGATTTAGTTCTGCTATGTGTTTATACATATTTAAGGTGGATTCTATGGTGATGAGCTAGCTAGGCCCTTTTGCAACTTATTATCGCCAAACTATGACACGTGTATAGTTATGATTCACAGTTGGTAAAAATGTTTGTTTCCTCCAATGCTGAATTTGGTTCATGCCAAATCCTTTTTTTATTTTACCAGGTGGGCTAATTACTTCACATATGTTGATTAAAAAATAGATTTAAAAAAAAGCATTTCTCTTTACGTGATTTAATTTTGTGCAGAGCTGAGTTCAACCTTAATTTTTGTTCAAAGACAGAAAACATAAATCATATTTTTTTACATATTCTACTGTAGCATCTAAGAACACATTCCTTTTTGTGGCTTGTTCAAAACATTAACCATTTCAACCATCTACAGGCCTAAACCTGCACAAACAGAGCTGTGTGAGGTTTATTCTGCAGTTCTGTGTTACACGCTCAGCGTGTTTTGGTTCATCCTTAACCAGCAGGTTTCCTCTTTTTGTAATCTCTTCCTACCACCATAGAGCTGCCTGCAGGACCTTTCAAAGGTGAATTAGAGAAAGAGTGCATGGCTTGGTTAAGCTAGACCAGAGCTGGTCCTTGCTGTGCAGGCATTGTATTGATTGCAGCGTGAGTCACACCTTGGACTGTTCAGTGCAGGAGGAGAGAAATGCCACATCCCTCACTTCTCTATTTGTTGCTCTATCTCTTTGGATCTGTGTAAGTGCCTAATTGTTCTTTTGTTTTCTGTGTGCAGTTGTCACGGGTTGGACAAGATTAACTTTACACATTTCTTACTTTCTTTAGTTTTGACTTAAAAACTTGCATGAAAACATCTCCTTCCTGTGACCGTTCTAGCTGGAGATAAAAACTGCAAAATTCTTTACATCTTTACATTTTTTTTGTTGTGAACAGGAGGACAAATTATATTATTCTACAGTTTAACTTGAATGTGACAGTGACACATAATTAGTGACACATAAGCAATAACAACACCATCTCCACCCTCCATCTGCTCCACACAGTGCCTCTAATGGACCTGCCGCTCAGTCCAACTGCAGCTCCCTCTTCACTCCTAACTTTGGCTTGTTTATATCCTTTAATAAGCTGTTTTTTTTATTGCTGTGACGTATTTTCTCTGAACCGATCAGTCTTGTGTTAATGATATAAATCAAGCTGTTATTTGTGGGTTTTTTTTTTCAGTGAAAGAATGGTGTACAGTACTGAGCAGACGTATTTACCCATCTGTCATTTCTTTATATTTTGTTTCAAAAGAGTCAGATTGTCTTGTAATTTTTTTTTTTTAATGCTCTTGAGCAATAGTTTCCAAGACTCCCTGAGGGTCTTTCAAAGCTTTCTTTGGACATGAACATGTTTTGGAATGACAAGTCTCTGCAGAACAATCAAATCTTCTCGTTCCTGGTTTTTGGCCGTTTACCAATAGCCTTTGAATGATTTAAGCACAAAAGAGGCCCCTTAACTTAAAGAATAAAATGTTGTGTCAACATGTAACAGACAGTTAAAGTAAATTGAGATTTTTGGGCACTGTGCCACATGTAGCCTGTTAGTTCTGCTTTAATCGGTTTAATCTATGAAAAATACTTAAAAGAGGTATACCGTCACTTTTCAGACTTTCCTTTTTGTGTTGTGTTTGGGCTTGTAGCTCAACGCAATAGCACAGCGAAACGTTGCATAGCAATGCATTCATGTTATGTTTGGAAGATAAAACTTGGGCATCAATGCAGTGAAGAGTTAGGAGTAACATTTTCTCAGAGCACTCCCTTGGAAACATAGCAAACCAGCACCCTGTGCAGGGTTTTTAAAATGGTTTGTGACTCGTCCTGTTTGCTTGTTATTCATAACAATGACCAAAGATTGCTTGTGAAAAAATCAAAAAGAATATAACAGCTTTCAGATCATTTCTGCTACAGTTTTAACCAGGAGTGTTGCTTTAGCTGCTGTGATGCATAGGCTTCGGCACTTCCATTTTATTCATGAGTGATGTAGTAATTGTGCAAGTCTCTAGTAAGTCTCCGTTTTAAGCTACTTATAAAGAGTTTGACACTCTCAAATGCCTCAGTGATATGGCCGTTTACTCTTTGATTATGCTCTATAATCAACTCACATTTTGGTTGTTCCTTCTCTTAAAGAAACCGTTATGGTCATAATCATGGATCAAAAAATTGCTTCCAAGAGAGAGACTGTTGTTGGAGGGTCAGGAAAAATATTCTGTCTGTTTTCTCTTATGATGCTCTCTCTCTTTTCCTGCAGAATCTTTGCAGCAGAAATGCTTACTGTCTCCTTTTTTGTTTTTCCAGTAAGCAGCTATACATTTAAAATATTTTCTTTATAAAGTTTTTTTTTAAAAAGAAAATAATGTGTTTGCAGCGTTTCAAAGAGACAGGATCTAAACAATACTGTATATCTGGTCTGAAGAACATCGTTCAAAGATTGTGTTTCTATCAGAATATTGTGTTTTAAAATTGCTTGTCTGTTTTGAAATATAATGGTGAAAAAAATTATTGTGGTTTAACTGTTTCTGTACTTTCAAGATCTTTATATTTCTTCGCTCAGAAATATGCTAATACTTGACCTTTGAGACAGAATCTTTTTTGAACGCATAATAGAAAACAAACATTAACACCAACAAAGTGATTCCCAAATGCTTGCCGTGTCTTGTTAACTGATTAAATTGGTCCTAAATTACAACACAGAAAATCCTTCGAACTCCTCATATCCATCTGATGCCAAATGGACTTACCTTGACTGTTTTATTATATTTTCTTTTAGGAGCTTTTCCTCCCAGCGTTCTCTACGCACGTAAAGACCGTCTTCAACGCCGTGCCCACATTGCAACTAAGACGTTCCAGGCCCTGCGGATCTTTGTGAACGATGAGTTGAATGAATTGCACAAGGGGCTCTGCGTGGCCCAGTCTGCGCTGAAACCTGGAGGAAGGCTCTGCGTGATCACGTTTCATTCGTTGGAGGACAGACTGGTCAAACGTTTCCTGCAGGGGCATGACTTGTCTAACTTGGATCGATACCACTTTAGCCAAAACAAGCAAGGCAGCAGAAAGAAAAAACTGGTGGATGAGAGCAGTGAACGTAACAAAAGTTCTTACTGGTTTCCTGTAAAAAGAAAAGTGGTCAGTCCAGAAAAAGACGACGTGAGAGAGAATCCTCGTGGACGATCTGCTAAACTCCGGATAGCTCTACGGAGGTAGCTTTCGAACGATCATGGAAAAAAAAAATTGTATTTCATAATGAAAATTTCATCTCTTTTTTACTGTGAACACAATACTGCACACATATCTGAGTTTGTTGCCTAGTGAAGCAGTGAAGTGGTTTGTCTTTGAACTGAAATGTGTAACAGCTTTCGGACCATTTGGTAACAGAAAAAAGGTGACAGTATCTGAGCTTTTGCATCAAGTGAGAATTAATGCAAGGCAACAACATGCTTCATTTTTGTAATCTAGTTTTTTAAGAAAAGGAATAAAAGCCAAAACCTGATCCTCGTAAAATTCCTTCAAATATATTTCTCAGTCAGTTCATCATGTCTTTATATTTATTTGATACAAACATTCTCATGTTAAGCTTCACAGCAGACTTTTTGCAGAAGATGTATGTCTTTTCATTAGAGTACATCACTTTGCATGTCTGCAGTGAAGTCATTAGTGAATGGCAACAACAGTGTTTAAGTAAAGACTACCTAAAAAAGTCCTAAGTCCAAAGCTGGTAAGCATTTCTGCTGCAACAGATCCACACTTTTCAATAGAGTTATAAACCATAATTATTTTTTTTTTTTTTTGGTAACACTTTATTTGAAGGGGGGTGAATAAGGCTGACATGACACTGTCATAAACATGACATAACACCTGTCATGAAAATCAAAAAGTCTTCATGAATATTTATGACTGTTGTCATAAAGCGTCATTCGGTAAATTATGACACTTTTAATACAAAGTTGAGATGATTCAAAATGTCTTTGTTATGACAACTTGACATTAAACAATAAATCATTATTGATATAAATTTGTTATAAAAGTATTACTGATTGCACTTTAAAAATTAGGTAACTTTATGTTATTAAAGGTAAAGTTTAAACAGTAATGATTTCTTGGTTAATGTCAAGTTGTCATAACAAAGACATTTTGAATAATGTCAACTTTGTATTAAAAGTGTCATAATTTACCAAATAATACTTTATGACAACAGTCATAAATATTCATGAAGGCTTACTCATGTTCATGACAGGTGTTATGTCATGTTTATGACAGTGTCATGTCAGTCTTATTCAACCCCCTTCAAATAAAGTGTTACCTTTTTTTTATAAACACAAGTTGGCAATCTTAAGACACAATAATCGTAATAAACATCACAAACTCCATTTTTAAAATTAAAGTCAGAATTTGCAGTGTTATTGTTGACACTGAAGTTAAGAAGCAGTAAGCTTGTGTCATTAAACTGTTTCTCATTTGACTTTTTTTAATTGAATGTTCTCATCACTCTAAATTTCCAAACATGGAGGCTTCAACACTTTAGTTTGTTGGTCTTCACAAATCTGTTTCCTGCTACCAATGAAATCTTTAGTTTCGTGTGTGTGTGGCCCAGCAGAGAGCTGTGTTGCAACGTTTTTTTGTTTTTTATATATATATATATATTATTAGTCTAATATTCGTTTGTGGAAACCGAGGTAGCTTTTGCAAACCAAGCAATTTATTTTGGAAAAGATTTGATTGAGGAGAAACAACCGAGTGCCATTTTTGTTTTTACAGTAGATGATTTGGTCATAATGCTGCCAAAGTTGACAGATTTTTGTCATCATCCTGGTTTGATTTCATTCATTAATTAGTTTTCATATTTAAGTAAAAGTTCTTAACCTCTGTTCAAATGTGTCTTTTGGTAGTATTCTTCGAGACTGATTTTGACTTGAGCATCATGTTTTAAAGTTGTTTACTACTTCAAGACAGCAAAGACGTATGACTTCCAGGCTTTTTGGTGTAGTTGACCCCAACAGTTTATTTGTCTGAACAATATGAACAAAACTGAGGATGTTGCCAGTTTTTGTTGTTTCTTTCCTATTGAATGTTTTATTGTTTGTAATATCTTTAAAGGTCCTGAGAAAAGCCAAAAAAAGAGAGATTTTACAATGTATCAGCAGACTTTTTCTGCTATGTCCTTTAAGTGTCACTATAATAATTGTCAAGGATTTGGTTGTTGTTTCTGCTGCCTAACAGCTCAAAATAAAAATGTCAAAAAGCTATCTAATTTCCAGATTACAATTGTGCATGTTTACAACAAGTCCAAGCTACGTACGATGGCACCTGAAGTTGTTGCTGCCCAGAAGCTTAATATGTAAAACCAGCACAGGAATATATATTTTTTTCATTGACGTCTGTATTTTCCCTGAACCTCCCTTGATGAGTAGCTCAAGTGCAACCTCTACTGCACCATATGAATCAGTAATGCCACTAAATACTGAATGACGCAAGTGTCAGAAGTGGTGCTGAATGAGCTGGGTGGTTGTTCTTGAGCATTCTCTCACCTTCAACTGTAAGCAGATGAGGTGTTTTGATCTTTACTATTTAACTTTGACTAATTGTAATTGCTTCATCAAGATTATTAACACTTTTGTCTTTTTTCTCAGTTTTGTGCTCTCTAAATATACCCTTGCAGTTACCTTGGAAACTAAGTGGTGCAAGTAATACTCAAGTGCATCTAAATTTATATCCTGTTGTTTAATCTACTTTGAAATTAAGCTGTATTGGGAGTTTTCTACGCCCCTTCCCGGTGACATCAGTGGATGTAAAACTCGGTATATGTTAGGACATTTGATCTTTTTCTTTCTTCGCAGAAGTAGAGTGTTTGCTGAGCTTCAAAAAGCTGCGAGGATGAAGCTCTATAAAGGAGACAATGGCTAATAAACAAGATTTCATCCTTCAACCACTTTCAGCATATTATGAAAAGTGTAACTTTCAAAATCCAGGTTTCCACAGCAGGTAATGATTTCAGTTTTGATCCTTTTTGTTAAGGGCCTCCGTCTATGGACATAGAAATGTTAATTGGGTTTTCAATCAAGATTTAGTATTTCCCACCCTGACAAAAGTAGCAATATACCTGTTTTAATGCCCATTATCTCGTGGTGTAAAACCCCACAATGAAGCTGTGGCTTCATTGTGGGGTTTTACACCACGAGATAATGGGCATGGACAAAGATGAGACAAGCTGAAGCAGCCTGGGCTTCCAAAACCTCTTCCCCACCACTATGGGCCACACACCTTCATGCAACGTCACATTGATGCAGCAATTAATGCAAAATGAGCCTCAACAGTGTATTATGTAGAAACTATACATGAATTTATACATAGAACATTAACACCTATTTATTTTTTTCCTACTTTGAAAAAGTTAGTTTTGGGGCATTTGTTACCTATAAGCAATAATAACCAATATGCATCTAAAGTAAGTCATTGTGTAGAAAATTTATCTTTATATCATAATTTTCACCTTTTTGATTTAATTACAGAAACAATGTTCACATAGATGCACCTGTACAGCTGCTCAAAGTGTTAGATGCCAAGACACAGTCTGCGAATCAGTCTCGATTCATCCTTCATTTCTTCATTTGTGTATTCAGTACAGCTAAACATTCTTCCAGTTTTGAAACTGGCCTTGGTTGTTAAATCTGCAGGCTTTCTGATGGCATTTCAAAAATGTTTTGTAGGACTTTAGTTGAGTTATTTGATTTATATTCTGTCCAGTTCTTGGTCATGACCGCAGCACAATGTTATGCTGTGTGGTGTGGATCATACTTTAGATTTTCTTTTTTTTATGCCAGTTATTCAGCAAAAACCTCTATGAGAATCTCTCTTACCTTTAATTATTTTTTTTTTGGGGGTGTGGGGGGGAACGAAAAAAAAAAAAAAAAAAAACGGTAACATTGTGAAATTACAGTATGTTCAACTGCAGAAAACTAATTTATTTGTAATTTAGTTTTATGTATTTTACGACTCTCTGAATACAAACTCAGCTGTCCTCTGTATTTGCTCGAGTTAGGCATAAGACACTGATCAATCACAATGCGGCCAATAAGAAGCCAGATTGTTTTGTTGCATTTAGAGCCCCAGGGAAATAAGAGGTCCATTATGTATTTTACTGTAAAGCCAATTTTTATCTTTAGAGTAAACTCTGAATAAAAATGTATATATCCCTCAAAGAAGCACTACTATGTTTGATTTTTAGCAAATAGAAATTATTTCACTTAGGTAATTCTAACAAGAAAAATTGGTTTTAAGTAAGAATAAATGAAGGTGTCCGTATTGATTCTTCACCAGAAATTTCATTTTTGTATTGCGTTTTATAAATATTTCTTAAAATGTCCTTTCTTCCGTTTTGTTAGGTTATATTACTTATATTTTTTTAGTATTTGTAGAAATGTATGAATTGATGTATTTGGAAAACCGTGATACAGTCACACATGACTCCCATGAGTGTCTAAGCCAACTTCTGAAGGCTGGAGCGTTCTTAAGAAACAAACAAGGTCACAAACATAGCTTATGTCAAATATTTAATTTAAATCCTATAACAGCTGCTGTTGTGAACAGTACGTTTTGGCATGTAGGTGATTAAAAATGCTGTTTGCAACCAAATTTTATTATTTCAGACAGCTGGCACAAATCTGTCTCAGGTGATGACAGCGAAATCCAGCTTGTTATGAGCTGACACTTGAGAGCCAGCATATGTGCATTAATGCGCATGACAAACGTAATTTGCACCATCTGGAAAGGGACTATTTGAGGCAATGAAGATGTATTTCTAAGTTGCATATTTTCCTCTTATTTCAGTAGCACAATGTCGCACGCCTCGCTGTATGTTTTTGCAAAAAGCAGATCACTGCAGTTCAAATGTAGGAATACTAAACTATTTGTAAATTGACCTTGTTAATCCTGCTGTTCGATCAGTTTTGCTAGTTGTTTGAACTGTCTTTAGTTACCTTTTGAAGTTCACTTCCAGATTCAATGTTAAGACAAAAGTTAGGCACCCTGGAGGAGTCACTTGATTTCCATCTAATGTGTTTTGCACGCAGTGACGGGAAAATAAATGACTTCATTTGTGTCACTTTACGTGACACAAAAGGGCAGGGCCAGTAACATATGAGTGAAGTAATATTTTTTACAGGAAGTTGCTGGATCATCAGACAGTAAGTCAAAAAAAAAAAAAAAGCAAGCCACTACACACACCGGATGCCTTGCTAATGCATCAAATGGCATTATAAGCTCTAAATGAAGCTTGATTGTGGTACCATTTGCAGTGGGGAAAAATAGACATCATTTCAAAGAAATGTATGCTCATTATGCCTGGCTCCTTGGTCTCTTTTTTTTTTTTTTTTTGCTGTACAATCTGATTGTTCTACCTAGATGCAATGATTTGCTCGTGACCAAACACGCCCATGTGTGTATCAAGTTTCTGAGTCAAAATAAAATCCTCTTTTTTTCTCTTTGTATTAAAAC